AACGTATGCCCAAGGAGACGACACCAACGAATTACAAAGGGTTTGTGGAGTTGAAACCCCTCCCCACCACACACACACACTACGCCACACTGCTTTCACAATCGATAAATAACGTACCTTTTGTGCAAGTAGATCTACAGGGGTGGCGTCAGTGGGGTGAGGGGTGGGGGGAGTCGTGGAGTGCTGCCCCCCCCCCTGCCGTCGGGGAGAAAAACCACAATTCGTAAGGGAGAAAAAAAGTACAGTGCACCCTTTAATTTGAGACCCCTCTAATTCCGAGACCACTTTTCCAAAGACCCAAATAACAATCTTAATTAATCTTTTAACACAAAGCTAGCCCTCTAATTGGAGACCAACCCCGAGACCACCCCAAATGTTCAGGTTCCAAAGGTGGTCTCGAATTGGAGGGTGAACTGTATATGTATTTTCTACATAATTATTAGTAGACTCTAAAATCGAACAGTCTTTGAAACCCTTAAATTATCTTATTTTTCGGGGGCTTCGCCCCCTGGAAGACTTTCGAGATTTTGAGCGACGTCCGACCACACCCACTTTTTCTCGTCAAGGACATCAGACCCCAGCCTGTAAAATCCTGGCGCCACCCCTGGTTCTAATTATTATTAACTGACAATTGGTTTATTCATGATATTCAAGAAAACCACTAGACTTACACGTCATCGTTTGCGTGGTCTGGCTTTGGCATTCGAAAGCCTTTTTGAAGATCTGATATCAAACGTTTTGACGACATGCCTGGATATGGGTACGAGCCTGTAAAACAAATACAAAGATAAAGACAACTTTGTTGTAAATTTGTTGCTATACAGATCGAACAGTAAAACTTTTATCTATACCACAAATATTGCAGTAGAATATTTACAAATAAATATAATATGTAATATTTATTCGTTTGACACTACAATAAATCCATAGAGGGTTTGTTAATACGAATTATAAACGTGTAATGTATGATACATGGTGGAAATGGTTGGCCTGGGCCTACGCTTACCTATAGTTATAATTTCCCATAACAACACCCCAAATGACCAAACGTCACTTTGGATTGTGTAAACATTATCAATAAGGGATTCTAACGCCATCCAGCGAATTGGCACTCGACCCTGTAATATCGAAAACAATTGTAAAATTCGTTGTATTATAGGACAATTCTCAAAAGTATTCATTTATAAAAAAAAATAATAATTCTTTGTAGTGTGGTTGGTTGCTCTTATTGTTATAATTGCTGTTATTGTAATTATTACCATTACTTATTACGATTATATTATTATTACGATTACTATTATTATTATTATTATTATTATTATTATTATTATTATTATTATTACATTATTGTTACTGACATTAGTATTAGGGTTTTATTATTAGGCATTATTTATATTTTATAACACGCCTAAATAGGTCCTTGTCATTTGACCGGGTGGATTTCGTATCACGTGACATTGGTTTTATACACCATTACCACCACACCTGTAATATCGAAAACAATTGTAAAATTCGTTGTATTATAGGACAATTCTCAAAAGCATTCATTTATAAAAAAAAAATAATTCTTTGTAGTGTGGTTGCTCTTTTTGTTATAATTGCTGTTATTGTAATTATTACCATTACTTATTACGATTATACAGTATTATTATTACGATTATTATTATTATTATTATTATTATTATTATTATTATTATTATTACATTATTGTTACTGACATTAGTATTAGGGTTTTATTATTAGGCATTATTTATATTTTATAACACGCCTAAATAGGTCCTTGTCATTTGACCGGGTGGATTTCGTATCACGTGACATTGGTTTTATACACCATTTCGTCACTCATGAAAATTTAGTTCCATCCGTGCATTTATGTTCCATTCGTTTAGTCCTATTGCACGCTCCCACCTAATACAATGTTGTCATTGGGTGAAAGATGGACAGTTCCATTCTGAAGAAAGGCAGTTGGTTCCCAAATTGTAAGTTGTTGTGTTAAAACTTGTACTTATATTGGAACAAAAGGTAGGCCTGAATGTATCTTTCATAATCAAATGACAAGGATCTATTTTATATGTGTAATAAAACGAATAATGAATGTTTCGTTTAGGTCCAATATAAATATTCTTCTCATTTTACTCATAAACATTCATTATTTATATTATAATTATCATTATTTATAATTTTATATATATTACTTAATTATCATTATTTTAATACTTCTAGGCCTATGTACTATTTCTTAATTTTTTTTCGAAAATGCCTACTTGTGATTTCCTTTGGTATACCCCTCCATTTATGACGTCACGGGCCAAACCGAAATCTGCAAGTTTGCACACACAATCTCGTGACAGTAGAATGTTCCTTGCCGCCAGGTCGCGATGTATACACTGCAATGAAATTAACATCACGTGACAACTATAAGAAAAGTTGTGTTCTGATTTTTATTCGTGCCCTGTCGGCATTTGTA